TCCAGCGAGCACATGCGCCCTATAGCAAAAAACAAAACAGGGACCAGCAGTTGGCGTAGTGGCTATGTTGCTGGACTCCCATGTAGTTGACTGCAGTTTGCATCCCGGACCCAGTGACTTAAAACTCATGCCGGACGCGTAGTGCGTGCGTGCCCAAGATCCCGAGAGGAGAATGGAGGAGAAGGGATTGCGGCGTGACCATCTCCCCTGGGGGGGTGACTTCTCGCTTTCTTCTCTCTGTCTCTGTCTGTCTGGTGAGAGCACGCACCTATAGCGAAAACCTCTCTAAAAAAATAAATAAATAAAAAGAAAAAACTCTCAAAAAAGATCTCTTCTCATCACTGACCAGCTTACTTTGCTTGCTACAAGGAGTCCGTAAAACAAGAAAGTGTCTCTGATCTTAGACTCATAGTCCTGGAAGGACTCCTCAGTAGTTCCTCCGCGTGTTCCCCTCCTCCAGCTGACCCTCACAGCTGTCACCCAGCACCCTCAGGTGTGCCAGCCAGTCCTTCTCCAACCCGTATTCCTCCTTAGCCTGCAAACTCCCTTTCCCCACGTCTTCCTTATCCGTCCCTTTGCTCTTCTCTGCCTCCGTTAAACTCTGCTGTTCCTCAGTCCCCATTCTACCGGCCCTGTCAGACCTTTCCCCTGTGACAAAAGGTCACAGTGACAAGGATCCTTGAACCTTGGTCTTACTTGGGTTTACATGCTATTATTAAAGGCTTTCAGGATCCTCTGAGAATAGAGATGAATTTTTTTTTAATTTTTAATTTTTTTTAAGTTTTGTTATAGGAGATATGCTCTTTTTCTCTTTCCTTTTTTTTTCTTTTTCCTTTTTTTTCTTTTTTTTTTTTTTTTGAGAGGTTTTTGCTATAGAGCATGTTTGCTCAGCAGAAAGACAGAGAGAAACAGAGACAGAAAGCGAGAACTCACCCCCTCCCCAGGGGGGATGGCCTGACACGCAGAGGCAGGGAACAAATGTTTGCTTACACTCGGGGTGGCTCAGTCGGTCTGCAGTCCCGCTCTCCGCAGCTCCCAACGCTTGTAACCCCGTGGGCCAAGAGCTTTCGTGGGGGTCACCCATGACGCCCGAGGCGCTCTCCGCCCTCCGTGCTTCCACACGTGGGGACGCGTGCACGCCTCCCGGTCTTCTTCAGCTGGGGCATTGCCAGCTAGAAAGTGGATTCTTCTTCTCTGGGGATGGCCCCTGAATTGCACGACTCCATCCCTCCGCCATACCTGGAAGCTTTAGTGTAATCAGCAGATTTAGACTCCTTCACCCCACAGATCCCGCCCCGGGGCTTTTGATTGGAGGGAGGGAATAGTTGTGGGAGGCGGCTTAGCCCACAATGGCAGCACCTGGAGAGGTGGCCCAGCCTTACAGGCCCTGAGTGTGTGAGATGGGGTGAGGGAGATGGTACCTGACTACTGAGAGGACAGGGGGCGTGTTGGTGTCCCAGGCTTGGGAGGTCGCTTCTGATGGCACTGAGGAACCCCAACCCCAAATTACTCATCTAGACTACTAAGTATTGGTCAGAATTATTTTGTGACTTTTCTGAATGAAACTCTCATTGCCTGTGGTCAAGGGTAGAGAGAACAATGCAGTTCAGAACTGATTTTGTACATTTCTTGATCTTTTTAAAGATTTCTGCCATAGGGCATGTGCGCTCACCGGAGAGACAAGGAGAGGCACAGAGAGGGAGAAGTGAGAAATGGCCTGCAGGGTGGGGTGGCCGTGCCACAGTCCCTTCCCTCGTCTCCTCTTGGGAGTTTGGGCATGCAAGTGAACATGCTTGGTGTGTTTTTCTAGCTACTGCGTCCAGGACTTGAACTGCAGACTCAGCCATGTGGGATCAGAGCCGTATCCACCACAATACCTGCTTTCCCCATGATTCTGCACATTTCCGAAGGAGGATACCAGTCAAGTTCACAGCCCAAGTAGATTTCTCTGATGGACGACCAAGTAGCAGATTATGTTTCCAAAAATGACTGTACCAGCCCCCGTAACCGATAAGCTCTTTTGCAATGCCATCCCGCCTCTCAAAAGAGGTGCAATCTATTTCTCCTTCCTTTCAATCTGGGCTGCCTCTGGGACTGCCTTGATCTACAGAATGAGAAGGGAGGCTTCCAAATCCAGGTATTAATGAAAATCTGGCAGTTCCCATTTTCCATGTTCTGGTGGATGCCTAGCACCATGTACTAAGTCCCACTGCCGTAACACCCCAACGTCTGTGAGGAGGTCTGAACTGGCTACTTAAAGAGGCCACGTGGAGAGACAGAGTGCCTGGCCGGCCCCCAGCTGTTCCAACCAGGCCAGCTGAGGAGCCAAACCTGTGAGTTAGGGAGCCATCTTGGCCACGCCAGCTCCAGCACACAGCACATGAACCAGACTCAGTATGTCTGCCCAATGGTAGAATCAGAAGAAAGTCAATGATTATTGTTATTTTTTTAAAAAAATTTCCACAGAATGTTTATAAGCTAAATATTCATAAAAATTGTATCAGCTTTCGGAAAGCTCACTCTACTTCATTGCTAACTAAATGAAAATGTTAAAGCTATTTTGTATACATATCTTACAAGAATGAGAGCCCATGTGCGTTGAAGTGACCACCTCAGCAAAAGTCAGATTTTCATGTTGCCATATTCTTTGATCATAACATTGAGTCTTAGCAAACAGCAGGAAAAGTAGCTTCCCCTAGATTTCCCACAAGTAGGATCTTGAAATTCTAAATGTCCATAAAAACTGTACTTAACATGAATAAAACTCGCTGTTTGGAAGTGGTAAGGGCTGACTGTGAAGCAGCTTCATCTGTAATTCAAATCATTAGGTTCTGAACATTACTGCTTTATCCACATAATGGAGTCCATCTTCGATTTCTTCTCTCAGTTTTTCTTTCCCTTTTGGGGTTCCTTTTGGTGGTGTGAGGTCACCAGTTCTTTGGGTACAATCAAAACACTTCTGTCATGGCTGACTGATTGGTTTGGATTGACTGGCCTACCTTGGTCATCTCTCAGCCTACTAAAAACATCATGGTAAAGGTTATGCAGTTTCTATTTCATTATGTTAATAGCTTTGCTACATTGGGCTTGCTCTCTCTTGAGGTTTTCTTTCTTTGCTTGTAAATTATATACATCATCTTCCAGATTCAAAATTAGGTCTAGTTTGTATTTATGGCAGTTCTGAGCAGCAATTTCATTTTTCCCCTCTTCGTCTGATATCACGGATGAGCGAGACTTGTAAGTCTGTCAGACAGTGCCTGGTTAACATGCTGTTGAAAGAATCAACAGGCATGCGGGCAATTGCATCCACAGAAAAAGGGATATGCAGAGCATTAGCATGTCTTTCATCCTGACTTAAGTTTTTATCTGTGCCATGAAGGTACTGTCCTCCAGTAGCCGACTGCTTGTGGGCCAATCTTTCCTCCTCCTGAGTGTAGGAGGGCGGGGACAGGAGGATAGAGCCGGGGCGGCTACAAGAACTTTCAGTTGCTGGTACAGATGTCTCTCCTCTGGCTAGCTCTTACAATTTTTTTTGTGTGTGTGTCACATGGTCAGTCAACTTGTTTATTATTATTATTTAATTTTTTATGAATGTACTTTTGTAAACCACCTTAACCTCCGATTTAGACAGAAATTAACCTTAGTCACTTTAAGGGTTACCTGAGGTTTGTCTAGTGAAATTGTCAGATGTCCAAGGGGAGCCGTTGGGGGTCTCGGGCCTCATCAATTCTCAGTTTTAAAGGCCAGCATAGACTCTAGAAGTCCAGAGCTCCCTTCAGAGCTCGATGGATTCTGTCTTGTCCCTAATGACCAACTCCACACTGGGGACAAGGCCCCAGTGGGGTACATGAGGATGTCGGTCATGGACATTGTTCAGTGTCCGGGCTGTCTGCATTGGAAACAGAGTCTCTTCTGAGGCGGAGGTTCTGATCTAGGCTGTTTTTAGATCTTGTCTTCAGAGAAGTGTTCAGCGTTCAGGACTATCACGAGTGACTACTGGTTATCGTTGAAGTGAGAGTTAAATCAAAGGTTAAAATGCCTTGTCAATATTGTTATAACACTTTTTGGCGTTATTTGGGAACTTTTTTGATATTCGTTTCGAATTGTCCCTACACTGAGAAGTGAACCTAAGTTTTAACAGATCTTGTGAGGAGTGGCTGAGTACTGTAAGGAGGGCGAAGCCCAGTTTACAAGTTTTTATAAGGCATCCCCTTTATTGCCTATACAAAAGCCCTAGCTGGAGAATGTGGTCTTAATCTAAATTTTTTTTTTTTTTTTTGCTAGACCTCTTGATTATTTAACTAAAGGGAGAATCTAGTGGGGAAGAGGTCTAACTAAAAGAAACATGAAGGCAAGGGGGCTGGGGCAGAAGGCAGCCTGGAGCTCTTAGTCTTTTCCTTGAGACTCTTACCCTATTAAACTGTTAGACAGTAGTTTTTAGTTTTTGTTTTATATATATAGGCCCAGTGTTTAATAATCACCCATGTGTATCTTTTTTTTTTAATCTAGGAAACTTTGATGTTTTTATAGGAACTATCAAGCTTGTAAAGATAGAATTTTATACATCAATATTGGTCAAATATTTTTGATTTTTGGCAACCCTAACTTTTAGTATTAGATCAGCAGCTTATGAGCATGTGCAAACAATAACAAAATTTGTTTAACAACTTTTTAATGTAAAGCTAAACAATTTTATTAATAGACCCTGTCAATATTTTTTATAAAATAAAGACCAATATAAGAATAACTAAAGCATGTTAACTTAACAACAAGAATTAAAAGGAGGACTTAGAGGGAACCAGGCAATAATGTTTTTGTGAGTCCATGTTTAACATTGGACTTATATCTTTTTACACCAATTTTATTTTTTAAACTCAGGTGTATTGTATTTGTTACTTAGCATGTAATTTTGTCAAACATTTTCTTTCTTTCTTTTTTTTTTTGGTCAATTTTGGCTTAACAATGAACACATTGACAAATAGCAATTTGAACTATAAAGCCATTCTTTAGTATTTTATTTAGTTTGTATAATGTTTAAATATTGATATTCTAGGAACTATTTAATAAACTAGAAAATAAAAGAAAAAATAGAGTTATCATTTTTTCAGTATGCAGACCTTCATCTGAGAGCCAGCTAAGTGAAGCTTATATTTGAAAAAGTCCATTTGTTTCTTCTGAGCCAGTTTTGGAATGCTGTCCATGGGTGAATGTTACGCAGTTGAAACATAAAGGCTGTAAAAATTAGTCCCCCCAGCATCACGGCTGCTGCAAGGGCAATAAGTGTGTGTCCTGGAAATGGCAGTGGTGCTTCATCGACATAAATCTGCAATGGTAAAAACAAGGTCTTTAAGCTTTCTGACTCTAATAATGCAAATTTTAAATTTTATACAACCCTCACAATTAATCAACTAGCAAAATCCTGGATATTTATCCATACGATAGGAAAATACTCAGTTGGAAAGACACTTGCACAATCATGTTTATTGTAACATTATTCACAATTGCTAAAGACATGAAATCAACTTAAATGTCCAAGAATGAATTATTGGATTGAAAAAAAATGTGGCACATATACACTACGGAATATGATTCAGCCATAAAAAACAATGATACCCTGCCACTTGATACAAAGTGGATGAATATAGAGGATTTAATGCTAAGTGAAGCAAAACAGACTATGAAAGACAGACACTGTATGTCCCCACTCAATATATACTGAATGTCTGTACTTTATAACAGGAGCTGAAAGATTAGAAGATATAGGAGCAGAGTCAGCAAGTGTATATACTAGAGACTGTATAGGAGAGGGAAATAAAAAGGAGAGGTGCAGGGGAAAAATTAATATACACAAGAATAATGTGCATGGTAATTACAATGAAAAAAAAATTCTGCCCAGAGTTATCAGACATTCAGCATCCACAAAACTTAAGAGTCCCTTGACAATCTTTCTTTTATTTGCTCTGTCATTGTTCTTACAGTTTCTCTCTGTGTTATTTCTGTTCCACCTGAAGAACTTCCTTATTTTAAAAGAGAAACTCTTGAGGACAGACAGTGGTGCAATGGTGAAACAGAATGTTCTGGATGGCAACCCACTTCCCTGAATATGCTGGGCACTGCTAACACCTGTGATTAGGCTGGCTAAGGGAGAGCTGGACTGCAGAGTCAAGATTGGGGTGCTGTCTTTCTTTCTCACTCATGGAAGAAATAAAGAAAAAGAGAGAGGGAAAGGGACAGAGAAGAGTTCTGCCTACAATGGATTCTCTTAGTTTTTCTTCATCTGAGAATATCTTGATACTCCCTTTATTCCTAGAGAATATCCTCACAAAATATAGAATTCTAGATTCATTCCTGGATTCCTTCCTACTCACCCCCAGGAGTTCAGATTGTTTCCCCAAACTAATGTTGATTTTTTTGACTGTTTTCAAGATTTTACCTTTTAATTTTTTTCAGTTTGAATAAGACGCGTTTAGGCACAGTTTTTTTCTGTTTGTTTTGTTGAGAGTTCATTAAGCTTCTTGAATATGTAAATGTACGTCTTCACCAAATTTGGAACATTTTCAGCCTTTCTTTTTTTCTCTCTCTTTTTTAAAATTTTATTTGTTTATTTTATTATTCTTTCTTAATTTGATGAGAGACAGAGAAAGTCTCCAGGTCTGGGATTTGAAACACTGTTGGCTATGTGGAAGCCCAGCACCCCAACCACCATGCTACTTGCTGGTCTCAGCTCTTATTTCTTTAGCTATTTCTTTCTGCACCAGTCTCTTTTCCTCAGCTTCATGAACTTTATCTAATGACATAAATGTTAAGTCTCTCGATGTTGTTATAAAGGTCTTCAAAAAACTCCTCCTGCTCCTTCTCCTCCTTTTTCATAAATTTAATAAGCTTTAAATTAATCATCAAAGGCTTCCCATTTATGAGTCACCTTAATGTTCTTCCCTGCTACAGGTGCTTGTTATGTAAACAGACATGATGCTCCCAAAGTTATTAGCCAGAGGAACTATTAAACTACTAACAGAAATATTTAAAGACAGAACAACATAGATTTTGGAAGTCTTACTACTGGGTCTACCAAAAAAAAAATTAGTAAAATTCTTTTATTTTAACTTTTTTTGAGATATTTTTGCTATAGGGTGTGTGTGCTCACTAAAGAAAGAGAGAATGAAAGAGAAAGTGAGAAATCACCCCCCAAGGCAGATGGCCATGCCATCCCTCTCCCCCATTTTCCTCTTGGGATTTTGGGCATGCACACACACACTCAGTATGATTTTCAAGTCACAGGGTTGGGGACTCAAACTGCATTCGACCATGTGGGAGTCCAGCACCTTAATCACTGCACTACCTGCTGGTCCCTTTTTAAATGTTTTTAAAAAATAATTATTTAATTTAATTTTATTCATTATTATTATTTTTTAAAATTCAACCAGAGAGAGACAGAGAGAAGAAAGTGAGAAAGCAAGCTGCCAGGTCTGGGACTTGAACCATGGTCTGCCATATGGGAGTCCAGCATCCTAACCACAATGCCATCTGCTGGTCCCAGTCAAAATTCTTATTCACTGCCAGCAGTATCCTTCCAGCAGTTTAGTAGTATCATGTTGGATTAAAACAGGGTATGTCAAAAATCCTCAAAGGAATGAAGTTTGTTCTTTCTCAAATTTCATAGAATGCACTGGATTGTCCAGGTAGGCATAAGCGTGGTTGTTGCATGTGTATGTTTGAACATGCAGGCATTACTTGAATGTATTAAAAATAGGACTTATAGTTGATTTTTAAATCTCTAAATCGATGAACCAATTCAGAATTTTGTAGTAGTTTGTTTTGAGACAAATCTCAAAACTGAAATGATCATTTGTGCTCTACTGTGAGGCATCATGTGAAAGACGTGTGCCTTTCATTTCTCTCTGTACGACTCTTACATATAGTTATACACGTAAAACTGAGATTCATACTACTCAACCATTAACCCAAACCAAAATAAAACAGTCAGTAATCCTATTTGATAAAACAAAACAAACAAAAAAAGCAAAAGCAGTTACTACAAAGATGTTGGTAAGTATCCATATTCATTTAAAATTTAGTATCTCTTAATTTCCAAAGATGCTCTGGGATCTGACTGTTGTTGAAAGCAAACCTAGGCCTCAACCTACTAGAACTTGGCTACTCCATGAGAATGTGTTGATAGTAGGCAGTCTACTGAACTTGAAAAGAAATGCTATAAACACTGGTCACCTTCTGGAAGCTGGTCCCACCTCTCTTACTCCATAATGAATGGTAGGAGAAAAGTGCAAAAGGGGGCATTTAAGTCTTTCTAGACATCCCCTTCCAATGGACATCTCTTGGATATAAAGTCAGCTTTCAATGTGTTGTGTCAACATCTTCCCAACTGTAATCCCACCTGTGATCACTTTTAGCACCTAAAGAGTGGATGTGCTGGCCTCTGAAGGCACAGGTGACATCAATACTAAAGCACAGTCTTACAAGGTGAGAAACGTTAGAAATGGCCAAATGTATACATGTTGGAATATTCACTTTGCAAGCCAAGTGACTTATATGATTGAATGTGTGAAAGAAATTGAAATAAAAAATAAGAAAAAAAAAAAAGAAATCAATGGCCAAGGTGGCAGAGCAGAGCCTCTGAACACAAGCAGGAAGAAGTTTAGCTTAATTACAGAACACGTACTCTTAAAATTACTATTTCATTGTGAGATAAAGTGCTTCACTTTTCCTTAAAACTATATTTCATTTTCCTTGAAAACAGAGTTAAGAGAAATATCAAAATTCAAAATGCTAAGAGCCTGATAAAAGACAATGCAATGAAATATCTATACCTAATCGCAATGGATTGTTTCTCTGCTAAAAATTTTTCCATTACTCTGAGTTTTAATCTTACCTCCCGCTGGACTCTAGGAAAAGAGGTGGAGATGGGCAAGGTGAGACAAGAGACAGAGGAAGTGAGTAACTTCCTGTCCTGGCCGTTCTCACTGGACGGTACCTGGCCATGAACTGAGGCTTCCACCTGAATATTAAAATGCTGGTGTTCTACTGACAAGGCGTGAGAACTGAGGTGGCTGAGGCCTCCCCCTCCAGTGGTGACTGCCTTGTGGCTGTGCCCCATTCTGTCCATCATAGGGAGGACGTGCCCTGTGACAACAAAAAGAAATGTCCCAGCAGAGAAAAGCATGATCACTCCAGTTGCCCAACTTCTGAACGAGCTTCTTTACTGCTCTTCTGTTGTCCTAAGGACATCACCAGGGACGCCAGTGGTGCTGCCAGTGCAAAGACCAGCGAGCGCTTGCTGATTTGATCCTGCTCTGGGCCAGCATGCGTTAAGGAAGCCAGCATGAAGCAGCTGGTGCTTTATGTAGCATTGCGGCCACAAACACATCTAACTGTGAAGGACAGGCTGCTGCTCCCAAAGCAGCACCATCGGCTGCAGCGTGGACGACCAGACCCAGCGTGGTGGTGACGCTGGAATTGCTAGGCCTTGTGCTGTTTCTGGTTGTCAGTAGAACCTGGGAGCCGTCAATCTAGTCCCCCAGCAACATAAACCAAAGCCCAGGATGAGGCGAGCACTGAGGCGGGTGTTCATCTGTGTGCGGTTGTGGCTTTGGCTGTGCTTCTGTTGGCGGACAGCCCATATTTCTGCCGCTTTGTCTGATGCAACCACATTCTGTTTCTCAAGGCGTGATAGTGTTTTCTCTCAAAAATATCTTCATAACGTGTGCGTACTCCTTCCGGCATGATGACTGCCAGTGCTGTCCCACAGAGAAGGCTGTCAGCCGAAACAGCCACCAGCTTCAGTCGCTCATCTGACAAACTAACAGCCAAGGGAAGGATTCCAGCCATGTAACATCCCACCGACAGAGCAGACAGACGATGGACACGAAATCGTTCACTCTGCCCTCTGCCCTTCTGCTTCATCCATCACTACTTTTTTTTTTTAATAATTATTTATTTAACTTTATTCATTCATTTGTTTTGAATTTGATCAGAGAGTGAGAGAAAGAGAGAGAGAAAGTGAGAAAGCAAGCCACCAGGTTTGGGACTCAAACTGTGGTCAACCCTATTGGAGTGTCCAGCACCTTAACCACTATGCCACCCACTGGTCCCATCTATCACTACTGAACTACAGATTTCTAGTGGCTTCAAAAGATGCTTAAGCTTTTTGTGTGTGTGTGTGCATGTGTGTTTTTGAGAGGTTTTTGCTATAAGGCACATACGCTCACCAGAAAGAGAGAGACAGAGAGACAGAAAGCAAGAAATCACCCTCCAGGGGGATGGCCATGCTGCAATTCCTTCTCCTCCATTCTCCTCTCAGGATCTTGGGCATGCACACACGCCCCACGTGATTTTAAGCCATCAGGTCCGGGACTTGAACCGCAGTTGACTACATAGGAGTCCAGCGACATAGTCATTATGCCATCTGCTGGTCACCCCCCGCCCCCGCCCTGCTTTTTTTCAAGTTATTTTATTTAATTTTATTCATCATCATCTTTTTTTTTTTTTTTTTTTTTTTAAATTTGATTAGAGACAGAGAGGAAGAGAGAAAATGAAAAAGCAAGCCACCAGGTCCAGGACTTGAACCACAGGGGGCCATGTGGGAATCCAGCACCCCAACTACCATGCTACCTGCTGGCTATGCCTAGGTTTTTATAACATGCATGGTGGTTCCAAGAGATCTATAACCTCCAGTTCTTGTAACTTCCCCACTGGTAGATGTGTTCACGAGGCACTTTTCTCTTGAATGTACCTGGAAACAGCCCCTTTCTGCTGGTACGAACACCAGAGATAACTGTCAGCAATCCTAAATACCAGTCACTAGGTTCTCAGATGCTGGTCCCTAGATTCTTGTAAGTTAATAGAAGTGGGAAAAGTCAATGATGGAGAGGGACTGTAGCTGATGTGGTGGGTGAGGCACTGGACTCTCACATGGCTGACCACAGTTCGAGTCCCAGACCTAGCAGCTTGCTTTCTCAGATTCCCTCTCTCTCTGGTCAAATTAAAAAAAAAAAAATGATAAGTAAAAATAAATAATTCTTCTTCCTTTTCTTTTTTAATAGAGATTTTTTGCTATAGGGCACGTGCACTTGCCAGAGAGACAGATACAGAAAGGGAGAAATCACCCCCTGGCGGGGGGGTTGGCCATGCCACAAACCCTTTTTTTCCATTCTCCTCTAGGGATTTTGGGCACACACGCACACACACATAGCTATTGTGAGTTTTAAGCCATCAGGTTTGGGACTTGAACCACGGTCAACCCCATGGGAGTCCATCAACATAACCATTACGCCATCTGCTGATCCCAATAAATAATTCTTAGAAAAAAAACGTCGATGGGGAACATGTGGGAATGTGAGAATAAATTACGTCAATTGTCAGAATGAAGACAGCAAAGGGACCCACTCTACCAACACACTATGTCTCAGGTGGCAGCAGGAAAAGAAGGAAAACCCACACAAACTTATTTGTTTCTTAAGGGCTCCTGTTTCCCGAGGTGACTCCCACAGTGATCCCTCCTTCCCAGGGATGAGACCAGCCCACTAGTTCCAGAAACGCCCTTCCGCGGCGAGGAGGGGAAAACAGAGTGCTGCAGGCGTTTAATGAAGGGCCGTGAGGGCTCAGCAGCAAAGCTGGCGCGCAGCTGTCTCCGCCCTCTCCTGTGGTAACCGTGGCACACTCTGCTCTGCGCGCCTTGACCCGGAGACACCTATACTGCAGCTGCAATGGCCTCCAAGTGGCACTTCTCCACATTTACTTCTGGATTGTCTCCCTGTCCCCTCCCTTCCTTCTTTTTAAAAAATGTTTATTTTTTCTAGTGACTTTCAAGTTCATTATTTTTATTCTCCTCTGTCATATCCATTATGCTCCAGAGTCTATCCAGTGATTTAAAGATTTATAACATTGTATTTTTTGGCTCTAAGATTTCTTTTTTTGTTTGTTTGTTTGTTGTTGAGTGGTTTTTGCTGTGGGGCACATGTGCTCGCCAGAAAGACAGAGACAGAGAGAGAGAAACCGAGAAGTCACCCCCCCCCAGGGAGGCTGGCCACACTGCCATCCCTTCTCCTCCATTCTCCTCTCGTGATCTTGGGCGGGCATGCACAAGTGCCCAGTTTAAGCCACCAGGTCCGGGACTTGAACTGTGGTCGACTACGTGAGAGTCCAGTGACACAGCCATTATGCCAACTGCTGGTCCCTCTTAGTTTGTTCTTTTTTTAGTTCTAGTTCATCTAGTTCTCTGTTGAGAATTTCTCTATTTCCATTCATTTCAAAAGTATTTACCTTTACCTCATGGAGCATGGTTATAGTAACTGGTTTAAAACCTTTGATAATTGCATTTGTTGTTGCTTGTTCATTATCCTTTTTCTTCAGAATTGGTTATATTTTCTTAGTGCTTGGTATAATGAGTAAATTTCGGATATTATCCTAGACATTTTTGGCATTATATTGTGATACTCTATTCTGTTAAACATTCTCTGAAAAATGCTGATTATTTGTTTTAGCAATCAATCAGACTGGCTGAGTTCTTTTCTTTCCTTTTTTTTTTTTTTTTGAGAGGTTTTTGCTATAGGGTGTGTGCGCTTGCCAGAAAGACAGAGAGAGACAGAGAGACAGAAAGTGAGAAATCACCCCCCCCAAGGGGGGATGGCCATGCTGCAATCCCTTCTGCTCCATTCTCCTCTTGGGATCTTGGGCATGCACGCACATGTGCCTGGCGTGAGTTTAAGCCACTGGGTCCAGGACTTGAACCGCGGTTGACTACATGGGAGTTCAGCGACAGAGCCATTATGCTAACTGCTGGTCCCCAGACTGGCTGAGTTCTGATCACAAGTTATGCCTCAGCTTCTGTAGGTAGTGGTTTCAATGTCAAGCCAATTTTCAAAATCACTGCTATGCTATTTGTGTCTTCCTAGTGCATGTGCCAATTGAGTTATTCTGGAACCTAGGTTGTGTTTATACTGCAGGTTTATTTCAAAGCTTTTGCTATGCTTCTTTAGATGCGCTCTGCTCATGCGTGGCTTGGTACTCGTGCTGGTTCACATACAGAATCAAGAATCCCCATCTCCAGCTCTCTTCGGTTAGGGATTTCCCCAACACTCTCCACTCTCCGAGGCCATTTTCCCTAGTCCTGTGGGACGAAAGCTGGGATTCGTTTTTTTTTTTTTTTCCTCCTGGGGGTGTATATACTTGCTGGAGAGAGACAAAGAGAGAGAAAGAGAGAGAGAGAGAGAGAGAGAGAGAAACAAAGAGAGAGAGTGAGAAAGCACCCCCCATATGGAGATGACCATGCCGTAATCCCTTCTCCATCTCCTCCTCCTTTCAGGATGTTGGGCATGCACTCCCAAACATCTGGCATATTTTTCGAGCTGCTGGATCTAGACCATGTACTCAAACCATGCAGTCAGCCATGTGGGATTCAGCTGTCTCTACCATCATGCCATGGACCAGCTTTGAAAGCTGAGATTCTATGAGAACTTTGGTCCCCGGTACTATCCCTATTCTCTAAAACTGGGGGTCATTTAGTGCCAAAGAGATCAGAAAAGAGAGAGAAACCTAGTGGAGATTTCCTCTCATGCTCCTCATGCTTCCTTTTCCAGTTTCTCTATCTACTTGGGTGGAGTTTTCTCCCAAGGCCTCAGCGGTGTGCACTGCTGTTGTGGCTACTCAACACCATAGCAGTGCAGGGTCATTATTGGGATTGGAACTGTAGCAGGGTCAGGACAGAAAAAGGGGGAAAAAAAAAGAAAACAAAAAGAAGGTGTGATAATGTGACAGACAGTTGACAATATAATACAATGAAATAGTCATTCATCAGTTTTTATCAAATCCTCATTCCTTAAGCAGCAGATGAATAAACACAAATGAGTTGTTGCTTCCGTGGGATAATTTGTGAGACTAATTTTGATTCCCAATTCTTTTAGATCTTGAAAGGCCTTGGAATATTTAAGACTACCATTGCTATTCAAATAACCAAAAGGAGGATAATGCTGGAAACTAAAATGTTATATACATCTGTCCTATGGGGACATGGATGAATGGGAAGAGTATGAAAACTGGGCTAAATCTTGGAGATGAAGAGGGAACAAAACCAAACCTAGCTATCATTGAAAAGTCTCCTGGCTTCAGTTAGTGCCGGCATCGGTGCATGCCGAGCGCCCTAGCTTTACCATCTCCGACAACATCAGTCCCATTCTCCAGGGAGGCCTGTCTCCAAGTCTTGTCCGTTACACACGTTCTGCCATTTCCTTTCTGCAGTGCCTCTCCAGTAGATGCTTGTCACATCCCTAGCCACCATCCCACTTGATACCTTGTACATTCACTGTACCTGAAATTCTTCAACTAGGTTACAGAAAGTGACCCCTGGAACAACGGATACTCGAAAGTGAAAAAGCTCAGAGCCCTGTGGAAGAAATATACTCCGTCATTATCACATCGACACGCATGTTCCTTTAAGTAAAAATAAACACTGGGGCCGTCCGATAGATGTTGCATAGAAAGGTTTCTGTCCCCCTTCCTAAGGCACTTGGACTTACTCTTAGTATATTGTCTACAAAGTGGGACTAAAATAGCTTCTGTTTTGATAGTCAGTACTTCAGAATGAAGAAACAAAACATGAGGCCTGACTTGGCCTTGATGAGTACTTAGGGTTAACTCTCATGCTTGTGATTTCGATATGTCCTTTCATTTTTCTCAGTTTTCTCAGTTCCTTGGGTTTTATCAACTTCATGTTTTCATTTTATCAATGTGAAAATTTCATTTTTATGGGCAGCTAAAAATTGAAGACACGTGCCTGCATTTATCTCCATGAAGAATTCTGAGGCCAATTCATCCCCTAACTTTTGAAGGCATCCCTTCTGCTTCACTTTGCTAGACAATCTGTCTTGCCTATCAGCTTAAAAAATAGTGAATGAATGTTAGATTCAACTCTCTGATACCTTTAGAAATAATAACATCAAGATAAATGGAGGAAAATAATACTCTTCATGTACTTTAAAGTTGCTGTTGAGTAGTTCCCACCATTCGTGGATACCAATACTTCAAAACTAAAACCAACTTTAGTTTAGACATACATTTTCTATTTAACCTCAATGCAGTGAAAACAAAGATGCTGTCAACTTACTTTTATACTTAAGTTGAGACCTGACGGGTTATACACTGAAGCTTGAAGAATTGGCTCTAAATAATTTTTCATTTTTCTAACATTTTCCGGTACACTGTGTTCTAAAGATACATGAAGTACATTTTAAGCGCACATGTTATTTTCTTATTTTGCATAAAATTTGCTACATACATTAAATTACAATGAAAAATTCTACTCCATAACATGATTAAGTTATTTCATACTTTTAGGTCTGTTTGACTTTGTACATGATATATATGTATATATGAAATTAAATAGGGACCAGCAGTTGGCATAATGACTATGTCACTGAACTCCCATGTAGTCGACTACGGTTCAAATCCTGGACCTGGTGGCTTCAACTCATGCCGGGCGTGTGTGCATGCATGCCCAGGATCCCCAGAGGATAATGGAGGAGAAGGGATTGTGGCAAAGCCATCCTCCCTGGGGGGGTGATTTCTCACTTTCTGTCTCTCTGGCAAGCGCACGTGCCCTATAGCAAAAACACAAAAACAAAAACAAACTTTTCCAAAAAAAAAAAAGAGAAATTAAATATATATAAAGTTGTATATACATCTATGTGTGTGCATATATTTACAGGAAATTAGACCTGATATCTCACACTGCCTTCAGGGCATTCTCAAGAAGGATGAGATTTCTGACAGCCTCACTTCTGATCACCTCACTTCTGCCATATTCCTTCCAGTTTCATGCTCATGACTAGTCTTGACTTGCATACTCTATGTGTTTTTGGTAGTGAGACATTTCAGAATCTCTGTAGTAGGGAATAAATAATTTTCAGTAATTGACAAAGATTCACAGTAGGCTTACCTAAGTCTAAGGATGTGATCTGTTATTTCAGCCTTTCTTGTCATTCTTTCTAAAATCACGTAGGTAGGACAGGGGTTAGAGACTGCAGTAGTCTAAGTCTAGGTGTAATGCTGCCAGTGGTATGGTTCTACTACAAGATAATGGAGTTACATCGGCAGCCCTGAGTTGAGATCTCGGGTTGACCTGAACACCTGGGGAGCACCCATCACACACCTGGGATCCCAGATAGCTGGGAGGGCTGGAGGGTTGTGGTGTGGTAAGATCTTGTCAATGGGGCCAACAAGTAGCATGGTGGTTAAGGACACTGGACTCCCACAGGGCCAACCATAGTTGGAGTTCCAGACTTGGCAGCTTCCTTTCCCACTTTCTCTCTCTGATCAAATTAAAATAAATAAATAAAATAAAGTTCAAGAAAATAATTCTTAAAAAAAAAAAGACCTTGTTAATAGTATCTCTCTTCTCCTTACCCCATGAAATAAATAAATAAATAAACTTAACAAAGGAGAAATTGCAGGGGTGTAATAGTATTGGGGACTTAAAAGGAAAAATAAGCTCTGATTGTAGCATTTGCCAATTCCCATGGTGTAAACGCTCTCATCATGATTAATTTCAAGTTACCAGTGGTTTAACAACCTGACTGTAAAAGGCTTCAATATTTAACAATCAGCACCCCAAATCTGGTATGAGCAGCCTCCAGCACACCACGCAAAATGAGGATATTATTTAAAGCAAAATATTTAGTTTAGAAGTCCACTGACTTTTTCATTTCAAAAATGCATATGTGTTGGGCAGAGTAAGATTCACTGAATACTAAATATGTGGATATATGGTAACATATTAATGACTGATTAGAATTTCTGTCTAGTTGGGACCAGCAGTTGGTGTGGTGATTAAGGGCGCTGGACTCCCTTATGGCTGACTGTGTTTCGAGTCCCGGACCTGGTAGCTTGCTTTCTCATTTTCCCCCTCTCTCTCACGCCCTTCTCTGGTCAAATTAAAATAAATAAATAAATAAATAAATAAATAAATAAAGTTAAATAAAATAATTCTTTTCAAAAAAGAATTTCTGTTTAGTTAAATCTATTTAGTTGGTTAATTCCATTTATTTACTTACCTACCTGTCTGTCTATCCATTTATCTACTACCTCAAAGACTCACACATGAGCAAGCACAAAATGTATAAAAAAAATCATGTTTTAGATAAAACTGAATTAAATTTCCTTTTTCATATTTAATAATATTTCTGTATATTTCCAATTATTTTGCCATGAAACCTTTTTTGTTTGTTTGTTTTTAATTTTGCTGGGGGCACATGTATTTGCCAGAGAGAGAAAGAGACAGAGAGAAAGGGAGAGGGAAGTGAGAATGCACCTCCAAGGGGGTGTGTGTGGGGGGGTCACGCTACAATTCCTTCTCCTGTCTTTCTCCCTCCTTTCTGGATTGTGGACATGTACACACATATATCCAGAATATTTTTCAGGCTTGTGTCTGATTTGAACCCAGTTGGTGCTGTGGGATCCAGCTGCCTTAACCACTATACCACCAGCTGGTAGAAACTTCACTCATACAAGATAGATGCACACATTATCTGGCAAACCTTTTATAACCCGCTCTGTACACTAAATAAGCAGTGAAAGGAAACACTACACCAGCATGCAGTACAGATTTGATCATTATTTTGAATGTTTTGCATTTCATATTCTTCAAAAAATACTTTCATGCCATAGAACCCAGGTCACTTGAACTGGTGAAAAAATAAATGCGAGACAATGAAAACAGTAAAACAGTAATGTGTCGACTGATTCGAATCCTTTTCCAAAGAAGCCCTGGCTGTCTCTTGTGTAACCGGCTGTGTAAACCAGTAATAACAACATTACTTATGAGATAAATAATCATGGAAAGTTATAGAATAGAGAACACCCTACTTAGCTTCCAGTTTTTCCTCATGTTTACTTCGGTAACAGTCACCAGATAGGGAGACTTCACTGAGATGTATCCATCTTCAGTCTTGATCTCCAAAGAAATCGGATATTGTGTGACTGGAAACTTGTAACGAGGAACCTAAAATAGAAATTCCAAGAGTGAATGGCAGTTTGGAAGATTTGTTAGTAATTTCATTTTGAGCTAAAAAAAATGAATAGATATATTTCCAATGGTCTAGCCATTCTAAAGGAAATGTACTTCTAAGGTTTTCTGCCTTTTCGGTTACGAACATGCCTGTCTTGTAGGAGAATCAAGGCGGTGTACAAACACTGTGGTAACAAAACTCTTAACTTTCAATTGGCCTTTTTTTTCATAGGAATTTTTTATGATGTCATTCAGAACTTTTTGGCTGATATTCTGTGAGGCCATGTGCGAACTGGGCCTTGCCTATTCCTCCTTAAACCACTCTTCCAGCTAGTCACAGTTTTTCAGACAGTTTTAAGCTCAGGCTATGGAGTCAGAGTTCAAATCCAGCTGCAATGCATGCTAACAGTGCAGCCTCAGGCTTCGCTGTGACTAGAACTCAATGAGGCCAATTGTGGAGAAGGCTGACAGCAGTGTTTAAAAGAGTAAACTCTCAAGAACTGCTGTTTTAATTCAACAAGTGGCATATAACGACAGCTCTCATACTGTGTTCTGACTCTATAACCAACATCGTAAAGACTATAGTAGAGACGGGGCTGGCAGGTGCTATGGTGGCTAAGGGCGCTTGACTCCCACATGGCCGACGGCAATCGAGTCCTGGACCTGGTGGCTTGCTTTCTCACTTTCTCTCTCTCTCTGTCCCACTCTGGTCAAATTAAAATAAATAAATAAAGTTAAATAAAATAATTCTTAAAAAGAGACTACAATGTACATAGTCTAACATAATCTCTTGATATACTATATACATAATATACATATATAGTCTGCACTATATATATATATATATAAATATACAGTCTTTACATGTAGTGTCACCAGGCCTTTGAACTGGATCTGCTTGAACATTATACCATCTGCACATTTGACTCTGCTAATGAAAATACCAATATTAACTTGCTATGTCATTGAATGCTTCGATACTAGCAGAACGAGTATTATCTGGCACAGAACTCGTTCTCTTAATCAACATATTGCATTGGTTTTTATTTGTCACCATTATCAGACAAAGTGCCTTGATTACAAGAACTTGGACTTCCGTATCCAAGAGCTTGATACATATTAGATATTTTAAAAGTTAGTTGAATGAATCCACAAATTTGATGAATCACAGTGCTTTATAGGTTACAAATTGCTCTTCAGTGTATGTATGTGTGTGTGTGTGTTTATCTTTATAAGAATCCTATGAAATGAACGGCAGTGCAGGTATTATTATTTTATTATACAGAAATGTTTCATTGATTTGTCTAGATGTATTTAAATCCTGATCTTTTTAGCTGTGTCAAATTCAGTTCTATGTCATAGGACAGTATTTTTATGCCTTAGTTTTCATGTTTAATCAAAAGGTACATTTCAAAATCTTATTAATATAAAAATACTCTGTCTCCAGATAATTAAAAACTATCTTACTTTTTCTCTGCAATCTGAGAATGCAACGGCATATGAAAATTTCTGATCCTCTGTGCAATTACACTCCGCTCGACGGGAAGCATTAGCACACTGCTTATATTTACCCGCTGTCTGCAAATAGAAGTTACATAGGCTGACTTGCTTTTCCTTTTTGTGTTGCAGGATTTCTACAAACTGAGTAAATGGCTAAAGATTTATTCCTCGAATAAATAAAAATCCGAAAAATTAAAAGGGGAAAATGCAGGACCAGCAGATGGGGTAATGGTTACATTGCTGGACTCCCATGTAATTGACCACAGTTTGAGTCCCAGACCCAGACCCAGGGGCTTAAAATACATGCTGGGCATGTGTGTGTGGGCCCAAAATCCCAAAAAAGAGAAGAGAGGAGAAAATCTCTTTCTTAAAAAGAAATGGGGGGGAGGTTGCCATTAATATAAGAAAGAGTTCAGTATTTCTGAATTTTGATGGTCTCCTTTGAATCCAAGCACTACTCAGCTGCTTGCCAGTTGACCTTAGCCCAGTTGCATGGGACCTAGAAAATCTGTGTCATTCTGAATGGCATGTCAGGATCACCAAACTCCCTAATCATGCCCCTCCCACCACAGACGTATGAAGACAGGAAAGGAGCAGATTGGATCTGATGGGCTGCAGACTCCATCACACACTTCTCAAACCTACTCTTTCTCTTTCTTTCTTTCTTTCTTTCTTTCTTTCTTTCTTTCTTTCTTTCTTTCTTTCTTTCTTTCTTTTAGAGAGATGTTTGCTATGGGGTGTGTTTGATGGCCAAAGAGACAGAGAGAAACTGAGAGACAGAAAGTGAGAAATCGCCCCGTGGGGGTGTGTGTGGTCATGCTACAGTCCCTTCTCCTCCATTCTCCTCCCAGGATCTTGGGCATGGACACACATGCACCCAGCATGAGTTTTAAGCTGCTGAGTCCAGTACTCAGTGGACTATGTGGGAGTCCAGTGATGTAACCATTACACTGTTGGTTGATCTTAAACTTCAGGGTAAATAGGATCAGCTATAGAAAAGGTTTTTAAAATAATTTATTTTATTTATTTTTATTATTTTTTAATTTGACCAGAGAAAGAGAGAGAGGGAAAGTGAGAAAGCAAGCCACCATGTCCAGGACTCAAACTGTGGTTGCCCACATGGGATTCCAGCACCTTAATTAACCACCACGCCACCTGCCAGCCCCTATAGAAAAGTTTTTAAAATGCAGGTTTCAGAACTGGACCCATAGTCGTTTCCAATTCAATAGCTATGAGAAAAGATTGCAAAAGATGCATCATAAAAGTATTTCCACCGTTGGGACCAGCAGTTGGTGGAATGGCTATGGCGCTGGATTCCCATGTAGTTAACCTCAGTTCAAGTCCCAGACCTGGTGGCTTAAACTCACGCCGGGTGCGTGTACATACATGCCCAAGATCCTGAGAGGAGAATGGAGAAGGGATTGCAGCGTGGCCATCCCCTTGGGGGTGATTTCTTGCTTTCTGTCTCTGTCTCTCTCTGTCTTTCTGGTGAGCACATGCGCCCTTATAGCAAAATATCTCTCTAAAAAAAAAAAGAAAAGAAAAAAAGAAACCACAGAGGCCAATGTGGCTAGAGCAGAGGAGGCTGGGAGAAATCAGATGTGACGCCAAGGTTGAATCATGAAGGACCTCACAAACCGCTGTTAAGAGTTGGGTTTTCGCTCTGAAGGAAATGGGAAGACTGAAATGCCAGTTTTATGTCTGCATGTGTGCTTGTGGGTAGGAGTGTACATGAAGTGCCTTCGTACATGTGCATAGACAGAGACTCCACAGACATCCACGAGGCTTCCTCAAGAAGTTGGCCCACAATACCCGTTTCCTCTGAATTTAATGGTTCCTCTCGGCCTTTCTATCTTGCTGGTATCACTTTTCTAGAGAACCAGGGTGCTGCTGCGATTTGGTAATTTTCTAGGCAGAACCCGTGAGGAGTTTAAATATGCCTATGTTGGAGTGGACAGTCTTCTCTTTTGGAAGCCATTTCTATCACAGGGCTGGAGACAGGAGATGGGTCAGGAGGTTCCTTTCATTTGAGAAAAAAACATTAAAAAAGGTTTTATTCTCCTTTCACTTCCTTAGAAATCCAAATGGGAGCCTGAGAGAATAAAGGGAAAGACACAGTGTACCAGGCCTGTCACTCAACTTGTTTATGATAAATCTCAGCTTCAACTTGAAGCTGTTTTTTTAAAAAAGGAAACAAAATCCCTGCTTTTTACATGCTAAATATCTTGGTAAACATGCCATGAAACACAGATTGGATTTCGATTTTGATTTCCTGGCCCCCAAATTGCATCCAAGAATAGAGTGCGAGGAGGGGGCTGAAGCAGGGCGGGATGAGCAGGGGTCACAGCTGCAGCAGTCACAGGACCAATCACAAAAATCACTGCACCTTCTCGTTCAAGTCCCACAGCTAGGTCCACCCGTAACCCTTCCAAGTGACTTCTTAAATTCAAATAAAAACAAGTTTATTTGTAGAAAGATTGCTTACCTTGGATTTATGATACAGATTCCTTGGTATAGGTTTGCTAGGATCTGCATGATAAAAATTATCTGTAAGTGGAATAGCAATTCCCATATTAGATGGGGGCCTGTAGTTTATCTGCAAGTGATTAACCAAAAAAGTGTAAGTCATCATTATTTACTAAGACTTTATTTTAAAATTTAATTTTATTTATCATTATCATTATTATTATTTTAAAATTTTTCTATAGGGCTCATGTGCTCACCAGAGAGAGACAGACAAACAGAGAGAGAGAGAGAGAGAGAGAGAGAGAAAGAAATTGAAAGCAAGTTGCCATGTCCAGGACTCGAACTGTGGTTGGCCATGTGTGAGCCCAGTGCCCCCACCACCATGCTACCTGCTGGCCCCTAAGACTTTAATTTAAATAGCTTGGTTTTCTAAAAAATCATCTAATGTAAATATTTCATTTTTAGCTCTAGGTATTAAAGTAAATTTTTCTTTCTTCAACATTCCTAGCCTTCATTTTCTGAAATTTCAACAACTGAACCCTTAGTAATAAATGTGAAATTTGTAGATAAATAAAAAACACTTTTAGTACCTAAAATAACTGTCATAAAATCAATGCAATAACCACTTTAAAAATTAGGCTTAGTGATGTTGCAAGTAAATAATCCTTCAAGTTTGGCTATTTTCTTTTTAAAATAGGTAATAAGAAATAAGACAGTTTTGGGGCCAGTTAGTCGGGTGATGGTTGGGATGGCTGGATCCCACATGGCTGATTGCGTGCTTGAGTCTTAGACTGCAGCTCAAGAAACACAGCGGGTATGTGTGTGTACATGTCCGTTATCCATTCTCCCCTCAGGGTAATTATCCTTAGGGGAGCATACCAGGCCTGTCACTCAACTTGTTTATAAATCTCAGCTTCAATATGAAGCTGTTTTTTTAGAAAAAGAAAATAAAAACCCTGCTTTTTACATGCTAAATGTCTTGGTAAACATGCCGTTAAACACAGTAGTGAACTTAAGACAACAAGAGTAAAAGTTAACAAAAGCTAAACATTGCAGCCTAAACAAAATCCATACCAAAAATAAAGTTAATTATCATTGGTTACATAAAACTTTCCTGACTGGTTAAAACTTAATAGTAGATGGGACCAGTAGTTGGCGCAATGGCTATGTCGCTGGACTCCCATGTAGTTAATCACAGTTTGAGTCCTGGACCTGGTGGCTTAAACTCATGCAGGGTGTGTGTGCGTGCATGCCCAAGATCCTGAAGGAGAATGGAGGAGAAGGGATTGTGGCATGGTCCTCTCTCCTGGGGGGGTGATTTCTTGCTTTCTGTCTCTCTCTGTCTTTCTGGTGAGCACACACACTCTATACCAAAAACCTCTCCAAAAACAAAAACAAAAACAAAAACAAAACCACCCACAAACTTAATAGTAGAAAACATGCTGCAAAAGGCCGTTTCTCTGGTTCACTCAGAGCAGCATAGGACAGAGGCAAAAGATGTCACTAAGATCAGTAAAGGGCAGGACTGCTGGTACCTAGCTCTGACCTCCCAGAAGCATGGCTACTGTTTGGATTTATGATACAGATTCCTTGGTATAGGTTTGCTAGGATCTGCATGATAAAAATTATCTGTAAGTGGAATAGCAATTCCCATATTAGATGGGGGCCTGTAGTTTATCTGCAAGTGATTAACCAAAAAAGTGTAAGTCATCATTATTTACTAAGACTTTATTTTAAAATTTAATTTTATTTATCATTATCATTATTATTATTTTAAAATTTTTCTATAGGGCTCATGTGCTCACCAGAGAGAGACAGACAAACAGAGAGAGAGAGAGAGAGAGAGAGAGAGAAAGAAATTGAAAGCAAGTTGCCATGTCCAGGACTCGAACTGTGGTTGGCCATGTGTGAGCCCAGTGCCCCCACCACCATGCTACCTGCTGGCCCCTAAGACTTTAATTTAAATAGCTTGGTTTTCTAAAAAATCATCTAATGTAAATATTTCATTTTTAGCTCTAGGTATTAAAGTAAATTTTTCTTTCTTCAACATTCCTAGCCTTCATTTTCTGAAATTTCAACAACTGAACCCTTAGTAATAAATGTGAAATTTGTAGATAAATAAAAAACACTTTTAGTACCTAAAATAACTGTCATAAAATCAATGCAATAACCACTTTAAAAATTAGGCTTAGTGATGTTGCAAGTAAATAATCCTTCAAGTTTGGCTATTTTCTTTTTAAAATAGGTAATAAGAAATAAGACAGTTTTGGGGCCAGTTAGTCGGGTGATGGTTGGGATGGCTGGATCCCACATGGCTGATTGCGTGCTTGAGTCTTAGACTGCAGCTCAAGAAACACAGCGGGTATGTGTGTGTACATGTCCGTTATCCATTCTCCCCTCAGGGTAATTATCCTTAGGGGAGCATACCAGGCCTGTCACTCAACTTGTTTATAAATCTCAGCTTCAATATGAAGCTGTTTTTTTAGAAAAAGAAAATAAAAACCCTGCTTTTTACATGCTAAATGTCTTGGTAAACATGCCGTTAAACACAGTAGTGAACTTAAGACAACAAGAGTAAAAGTTAACAAAAGCTAAACATTGCAGCCTAAACAAAATCCATACCAAAAATAAAGTTAATTATCATTGGTTACATAAAACTTTCCTGACTGGTTAAAACTTAATAGTAGATGGGACCAGTAGTTGGCGCAATGGCTATGTCGCTGGACTCCCATGTAGTTAATCACAGTTTGAGTCCTGGACCTGGTGGCTTAAACTCATGCAGGGTGTGTGTGCGTGCATGCCCAAGATCCTGAAGGAGAATGGAGGAGAAGGGATTGTGGCATGGTCCTCTCTCCTGGGGGGGTGATTTCTTGCTTTCTGTCTCTCTCTGTCTTTCTGGTGAGCACACACACTCTATACCAAAAACCTCTCCAAAAACAAAAACAAAAACAAAAACAAAACCACCCACAAACTTAATAGTAGAAAACATGCTGCAAAAGGCCGTTTCTCTGGTTCACTCAGAGCAGCATAGGACAGAGGCAAAAGATGTCACTAAGATCAGTAAAGGGCAGGACTGCTGGTACCTAGCTCTGACCTCCCAGAAGCATGGCTACTGTGTCAACGTAAGTCAGACCTGTGAGGATCAAAGGCACGCCATTTTGCTAGCTAAAGAGATAGCAAATTCCTCCTCCCCCCTCAAGCTCCTTTCCCAGGTAAATAAATGTATACAAGAGAGAAAAATTAAAATACACTTATCTACAGAGTAAGGATTTTAAAATATCAATGTAATCCCTACTTCAAAAAAAAATTTTTTTTTTCAAGAAAAGCAGTTTTAACTTTAATAAATCAAAGAAATGCTAAGGAACTTTGCTTAAAACTTAAAGCCAGGAAACAGGTTAGGATTCTGTTCAAATAGTAGGTACATGAACCTATCAACAGCTCAAGACAGGACAGAAATCCTTAAAACTAGAAAACAAAGCCTAGAAGAAAATCAGCAATGTCTCAGCCAAGTCATAAGATTCTATTTCACCAGTTCGGTCACATGTACTTACAACTTCTGTTGTGGTTCAACCTTCCTGACTAAATTCTGGGATATAATATTCAACTCCAGACTTGTTCCTATGATTAAATTGGCCAATTTCCTTGTTTTTGAACTCTTATTTCTGTGTGTCTGTGTTTAATTTTCTTGGTATAGCACTCCCTTAAGAACTTCTTGGAGATCTGGTCTGGAGTTGGTAAATTCTTTCAGGTTTTGTTTATCTGAGAATGTTCTTGTCTTTTCTTCCCATATGAAGGATAATCTTGCCAGGTACAGTATTCTCAGTTGGAATTGCTTTTCCTTTAATACTTTGAATATATTTTCCTGTTCTTTCCTCACTCACATTATTTCTGATGAGAGGTTCACTGTTAGCCTGATGGGATATCCTTTGTAGATAACTTGACATTTCTCTCTTGCCAGTCTTAGTATCTTGTCTTTGTCTGTGTTTTTGGTCAATCTGGCTATAATGTGCCTTGGAGAAGATCTTCTTGGGTTGATTCTATTTG